CATAATAGTGTTAATTTACTATTAAATTTTGTAATTAATTGTGTAATGTGAACAATAAAGAGTTTTGTATTGTATGTTTCAGTTTTCCTAGAAACCCCGACATAAAAGAAAAGTGGATTGACGCGTGATAGAAATGGTCAATGGTTTCCTTCTAAAACTAGTTTACATTTGTTCAACATATTTTTCTGTAAATGATTTCATTAATATTAAATAATATGATAAATTACTTACAAATTTATAATGAAATATTATTATTACATCTAGTTTTCTGATTATATTGTGAAATTAAATGTTATATTGGGATATTATTGAAATATAGTTTCAATGAGACATCTTTGTTATTATTTTCCATTCTTAATATATTGTGCTTCATATAATACCTAGTTAGAAAAAAAAATTGTATCATTAAATATACAAAAAAAATAGCTAAGTATCAAAAAATAAAACTATGACTATATAATAGAAAAAAGGCAAATTCAAATTATAAAAATCTAGCCCCCAAAGGGCCAAATTATCATCACTGTCACCTGCTCTTGATTTGTGACCCCGTTGCAGCCTACTTCTGATTAAAACTGACAAAAATCGCAGTTACATTGCTACTTTAGCAAGATAGGAATTGGTCTAATTGATCGAGCCGTTTCAAGAGAAAGTTGATTACAATCATTGTGAAGTGATTACATACATATGGTATTTATTTTCATTGGATTTTTTTCGTGAATATGCGAAATGATAAATTAATAAATTATTTATTATATTAACCCAATATATCAATGATTTTCTGATTATCGATATCAAATTGTGAATCACAGGGCACTTCACTATTTCAGTGTTGACAGAAGCGTAAAATTCTTTGCATTATATTTTGAAAAATTGTTTTAATGCAGATACGTCGTGCAATAACATTTTTATGTAATGAAACATGTATTTCAAATGTTTACACATTAACTAATTTAATATCCACGCACAAAATATAATATTTAGAACTAACAAAAGTAATTGTGCAAATTTTTATTTTAGCTAGCCATACATTTTGTGTATTACTGTAAAATCACCTGTATTAATAGGCTAGTATATACTAATTTTGCTGAAACTTTTGTAGCCAATGGAAGCATCGCTCTCTTTGTGAGCTGAATAGGTGAAGTTTTATGTCTGTGTGATATCTGGCACGCGCGGTCCTAGTACTAATGTTAGAACGTTATCATTCTAACCTTTTTATCTGTTCTGTGAATTTAAATGTCATGTGCTTTTGCAATTCTTTCGTATCACAAATACATGTGCAACGCAATCTGCTGCCAAACATATGCAGTTTTTTGTTGTTAAAACGAATACATACCTACAAAACTTTTTTAATTACACTTATGAAAAAAATGTAAGCGTTATTATTTATTGAATTTCATTTAACTGCACACATACTGCGTCCTATTTTTCTTCTGCACTGGAAAGGACTCCGCATCAAGGTTAGGTTAGGTTAGGAATAATAGGATACTTTTTGAAGCCGCTGGCGAAAGCTAGTATACTAATATTATAAAGACGAAAGATTTGATTGTTTGCTTGTTTGCATCGAATAGCTTCCGAAACTACTAAACATATTTTAAAGAATCTTTCACCATTCGAAAGTTACATAATCCACGAGTAACATAGGCTATATTTTATTTTGAAATAAAAGAAGGGTTCCGTAAGATATTTGGGTTTTTCGGACACAAGATGTAAAACACCAATCAGAAATAGAACTATAAAATATTCTAATCAATTGTAAATCTTATAAATATCTACAAAAAAGTCCGCGACACACTATACCTATCTATGTCGAGTAAGGCACAACAACCATTTTAATTAATATTGAATTTTTTTTGGACTACATTTAAACGCGTTTATTTTACGTATGCTATTAATCCTTATCAAAATTAATTTCATCACAGTTTATGTAGATAATATTTGGTCTTTGAATGATTAAAATTGGACGTTTGGTTTTGAAGTTATGACGAAATTAAAATATTACGATTTCTGCTCCACGGCCCGTTGCGAAGTGGGCGTCACCAAGGTACCCCCACGTGCGGGTTTAGATCTATGAGTAAGGTACCAGCGGATCAAGCGGGCGAAGCCGCTGGCGGAAAACTAGTCATGAATATAATATCAAACATAGGGTAGGTCCAAGGACACTACTCTGAGGAACGCCAGATGTGATAAATTTATCATTGCTTATAATATTGCCAATGAAAACACTTTTACATCTATTACTTAGATAACTCCGGAACATTTTAAGGACCAAACCTCATATACTAAACCGCTGCAGTTTGTCCAGCAAGGAAGGCACGGAGACAGGGTCGCCAGCTTTTTATATGTCAAGGAAAAGGAAAATGTCTGATTATAGTTAAAATTCTTAACCATTGAGCTAGTAAGTTTATGTATTGCATCTTCTGTTGATTTTTCTTAGCTAAAACCGAAGTGTTTTGAAGAAATAATATTGTTAGATTCTGAATAACTAATCAGTATTTTGTTTAATATTTTTTATAAAAATAATGCACAAGAAACATGGATAATAATAAAGAAAATCTCAAATATTTACAAGAAAACCAAATATGACAGCCCTCTGATGATCCGCAAACATCTGTGAATTCTGTCAACCATTATTTTGCAAGTGTGGGGAGTAGATCAAGATCTGATACTCACTGTGAGTCATTTTTAACGGCTGCAGTAGAGGCAGTACCTATCATTTAGGAATCAATGGTGTTATTCCCTAGAGATAAATCTGAAATGGATTCTATTATCTTGAAACTTAAAAGGGACTATATAGTCGGGTGGGATGGTATCACTGCTAGGCAGGTAGTGGTTGTGATACTATATCATATTTTCAACCTTTGTCTATAGTCATGTACTTCCCCGGGTGTTTTTAAGAAAGCTATTGTTCATCCGATATTGTATATTGTGGGAACGGAGATAGTGTGATGAGGAAGTATTTAAAAAAAACGGAATCACTAAAAAAGCCCCTCCACTAGATGGCGACTCTACCAAAAGTTGATTTTTGAATGAAACGAATGGACCAAAGACAGTCATTTTTGTTCCTTTTAACTAACATATTAAAAAACTGAAATTTGCAATGAGGAAGCGTAAACAATGTGTAATGAGGAAGTAGTAAAAAAAAAATATAAGTTCTCGAAATTAAACTATATGTCGCTACGGTACGTTCTTGATTTCTCCATGACAACCGTTCTGGTTTTCTTTCGTGTTTAAAAGTAGATAAGTTTTCAAAACTCAATAAACAACTCATATACTATTTGTACTTTTCCGTTTTTGTATTGATATCTAAGTTTCGAACTTTGCAATAGCTTTCTTAAAAACACCCGGGGAAGTACATGACTATAGACAAAGGTTGAAAATATGATATAGTATCACAACCACTACCTGCCTAGCAGTGATACCATCCCACCCGACTATATAGTCCCTTTTAAGTTTCAAGATAATAGAATCCATTTCAGATTTATCTCTAGGGAATAACACCATTGATTCCTAAATGATAGGTACTGCCTCTACTGCAGCCGTTAAAAATGACTCACAGTGAGTATCAGATCTTGATCTACTCCCCACACTTGCAAAATAATGGTTGACAGAATTCACAGATGTTTGCGGATCATCAGAGGGCTGTCATATTTGGTTTTCTTGTAAATATTTGAGATTTTCTTTATTATTAATTATTATCCAAGTTTCTTGTGCATTATTTTTATACTTAGTGAATTGTGTTTCTTCGTGTTCAAGTTTGATTTTTTAAGAAGGTTGTTGAAGAAATTTTTACATCGCTTATTATAAATTACTTTAACGATTTCTTTGATAGGATTTTGCTTATATTTTCGAAAAAGTTTCTGTTTGGTTTCTGTTCTGTTTGGTACAACAATAACTCAAGTATTTGCCCTGACAATGTTGGGAACTATTTTAACTTAATTAATTACAGCACTTTCTGCCAACATATTGCAATTAACAGATATATGATAGTGAACTCTTTCCTTCAAATTATGTGGTTATTCGTAAAGATCGTCGTGGTGATGCTGGCTGGGGAGGAATTCTTTTAGCTATAAGAGAATGCTACGCAATTAGGATGGTTACAGATTTAGATGGTTAGACATCTGATCAAGAAATACTGTTTGCGATTGTGATTTAGAAAAATGTAAAATTTTTATGTCGTGTTATGTATCTGCCGCCTAGGTATAATGATGAAAAATATTTGGATGTATTAACATATATCGAAAATAGATGTCGCTACTATATTTTCTTGATTTGTATCATGTATATAAATTAATTTTCAAAACTCAATAAAACTCATATTCTATTTGTATTTTTTCGTATTTGTATTGATATCTAAATTTCAAACTTAACGAATTTCAGTTTTTTAATATGTTAGTTAAAAAGAACAGAAATTATTATCTTCAGTCCATTCGTTTTCTGCAAAAATCAACTTTTGCTAGAATCGCCATCTAGTGAGCAGCTTTTTTAGTGCTTTCTTTTATTCTTAAAATACTTTTTCATTGAAGCCATATCGCAGACTATGAGTATGTGCATGCATTTCGATGTAGAGGAGATTTGTGACCAATATCACTCGTCGATATCGAATTGCACGAAAATCCTATTAAGATTATTGTGTACGATAATAGCTGCAATAGTTAAGAAACTGAACCATTATATTAAAAGTTTCAATTAGTTAAAATGTTATCGTCGCCCTATTAAAAAGAGACAAATAGCTTCTGTACTTGATATCTCGCTCGGCTCGCTTTTCAGCTGGGAGTATTCTGTCCTGTTATAAGTACTAAGTACATAATTGAAGGAGACCTCATATAAATGATGAAAAAATTATTTCTGATAGATAATATTTTATGTGTCTCCATTCGAACCATATCTTGTTATGTTTACGAATGCTTCTGTTGCGTCACGCCACATAAATATGTTTCCGCCTTTATGTATAATGATGACAACGTCAACATGATCACGTGATCTTTCCGACCAATCATAAAAAAGCTTTTTGACAAATCAAATGCGACTAACTTCATGTGAATACAGAAAAGTTATATTTTCAGCTTTATTTACTAATTTGAAATGCCGAAAAAAGAAAAGGTGAGTTGGGATTCTCAAATCAAGTATCCCTAATGAAACTGACAGCATCAAATGACATGATAATTCTTAAAATTCCATAAATTTTGTGTAGTCGGTGAGTCTGTAGGTACTGTTTCATCCTTCAGGTTACAAGTGCTATGCCATGTCAGTTCGTTTATGGTATGCGGTTCTGCATAATTTACATGTTAAAATTCATCGTTTATTGGTGATCCGAAATCTCAAGTTGGTGCAGTGAGAGTATTAGTGAAATCTTTTGTTCACAGGAGGCAATGAAGACTAAAATTGACAAAAATAAAAGTGGCGATAGCGATACAGAGGTATGTTGTCTTTATTTAGCGTAAGGTTTAACATTACCTTGTCAGTGTTTCTTAGTAAATCGTATTTACATGTAAAGTGTTTCAAATCAGGTTTTTGTAGAAAATCGTCAAGATTTTTTAATACTTTTGAATTTGCAAAAAACCTTATTTGTATTTACTTTTCGACTTACAATTATCGTCGTTCAAGATAGAACTACCTACAATATTTATCTTTTCATAATTCAAATATATTTTGTTAAAGTACAATCAAATGATATAGTTACTAATATTGTTTGGCTATGTATGACAGGTGTTCCTCTCCTGCACCAGTTGAACATTACTTAAAACTTGCTTTTTTTCAATTATTTTTTTCCAAAAATGATATTTATAGTGGTCTTAAGTTAAAATTAACCTATTTTATTGATTATTTCATAAGAAAAGTGTGTTTTTAATCACAAAATCTATTAAGTACTTTTCATCTCTAATGGCTTTCATTGTTCATTAATTGATTGATTAGTGAACCCGTGTTAGCCTAAATAAAAGCTAAAATAAATATCCCTGCAACATATAATTAGACTAGCTGTGTTTTCACTTCTCTTTTCATGTAAATTATAGCCTAAGTCACTCACATTTAATGTAGCTTCCCTTAGGTGAAAGAATTTAAAAATCGTTCCAGTAGTTACAAAGCCTATTTGATGCCTACAATCAAAACTTTATTCTAAGGATATTAGTATAGGTAACTTGATGTAAATATATTACCTTAGTTAACAAAAAAATTATAAGAACCAAGGATTATGTAAAAATAACAGTACTGTATAAAAAAAAAAACTTTTAATCTAGGTACAAGTATCATTTATTTTTAAAAACAACAAATTCATTGTGACATCATTTTTAAGTATAACTATCATGAATTCTATATTATTCTGAAGTGTTAATACTTTCTGTATTACCTATAAAATGAAGACTAACAATAGGAAATAATGTTCAAATACTTGAATTGAAATTTTTATATTAATAATTATTTCAAAGGAAATGACGAACTAGAAATGAGTACAAAAAATATTGTCCTGTTATAATAAAAGATCCTTTGCAGACAGACAACATGTCTTAAGTTCTGTTATTGAAAAACATGCCAGGTATAATCCCTAATAATATAGTCATCAAAATTCTGTTTAATAACTAAACCTGAGGGCTACTGCATAATTAATTTAATATGAAAAAGAAATATTAAAGAAGGAATTTTGATTGTATATTTATCGAATAAATAAATATTAATATGTGAATTTGTTAAATTTATGACAGCACCATTAAATGATAATGGAATCAGATTAACTTTCAAAGTCATAAGTAATCATGTCTTATTTCATATTACAATTGTCACATTTTCTTCCTTGACTATATAGTATATTGTGATAGTGAGACAAATTTTTTATTTTATTTTATATTATAATTGTATTATGACAATCTCTGTGGCTGGTACTCCGACTTCAAGGTATCACCATGTCTGAGGTTTTGGGTTTGGTAGTGTCAGTATAGAAATTAAACTTTTCTTACACTGTCTTATATCTGGCAGGATTCAGAGTGATAATTATCTCAATAAATTTACCTTGATAATAATTTTGATACCTAATTATAAAACACTACACTAAGTCTCTTTGTAGTTTGTCACTTGTTATTAAAAGCGAATTATCTTTAAATAACTATTATATGAGGTTTTTCTGATAGAAAAAAATGTCTAAGATGAACCTACAAAAGTAAAAGAAAATTATTAAAGGCCCCCTTTTTATATAAAATATTTTTTTTTATTCAATATGATTTTACAGTTACATATTTTTGTTTATTTTGTTTGTATAATTTTTATAGTTTAAAACAATAAAAATAAAAGTTGATTCAATTTATGAATGTTTTTCTGTATTTAAAAAAATGTTGCCAGTAACTGGAAATTTATAGGATAATTATCTAGATCAGATTATTATCAGTTAATTATATATATTATAGTAGAAGAAAATTCGAAACTGACAAATTATGATATGACATTCAATCCTCCACACTCTTACATAAGTACATATTCCTGCATACTTCTGTGATAAGCTTGATGGATCATCCGTTATATTTAGATTTGGACTGAATCTAAATGTATGAAAATTTTCACCATTAACTTAATCTAAAAGCCCATTCAAATAATAATAATCAAACTACTATTTAAATTGGTGTTATCTAAATATGCACTAGTCATAAACATTTCAAAATGCTCTCATGTGTGTTTAATTGTAATCTCTTTTAGTATACTAAATACAATCCTTTTATCATATAAATGTAAATATTATTTAGTTTCGAGTTAACGTACCGTCCTTACGTAGTGAGTGCTGCGTTGCGGCTGAACCTTCACACGCGCTGTCGGTACGGAATTTCACTAAAATTGTGTTAAGTTCATCGCGACTTCGAAAACGCGTACTAGAAAGAATCGGTGATATATTTACTGTAGTTGTAAATAATATCAGATAAACTGGGATCTAGATTCACTCACTTATTTAATTATAAAATAAGTAACCAACTAAATAAATTTGCCATTATTAAATTTGACTAGCAACAAAAATAAGCAAGTTGTAAATTACCTTTTTAATTTAATATAAATGAAATCAGCGAGCAACTCTTGTTCTGCCAACAATCACAAAAATAAGTAGCGGTTAAAACAATATGGAGTCAGCTTGTGATGTTGTGTCTGCCGCAGCAATATTCGCTATGCAAAATAATTACTTATGTCAGCAAGTTTTTACAAAACATAAGTTTCTCTGATTCTTGCATTATGATTAAAGTGCTTAAAATAACCGTGAATTTTTACTAAAATAGATTGATACATAAAAAGTAACAGATAAATTTCGTATACACGACACAGATATTATGGTTAGGTTAGCATTGTGACCAAAATAATGCATAGCGAAGCAAGCGTGCTTGGGAAACAGCCGACGAAGAGCCAAAATCACACCACACATGTATGTTGTTACTACTCAGCCCAACAATAGATGGCCATTAATCATAAAGCCTGGCCAATTTAATTATTTCAAAAGTAGGTAATAAATGTCGAATCGCTTACAATTATGAATAATGTCCTAAGAAAGAACCTCTCGTGTACATAACACATTTAATTCATTGGATGAGGTTAATCAATCATCAGTGGTAGTTATAATAATATTCTGCTTTAGTGGTCAGCATAATTTATTGACAATAATAACTGATAGATTTACAAATCGGTATTTTACTGTCCAAAAGTTACTAACGATTTTTGTTGACCGAATACATTTAACTAATTTCCCGTGAGTATAAACCAAACGAAGTCAACGGTTTGACGAGTTTAGCTAATAAATTATTGAAAAACGAAAGCATATGCCGTTTTCTTGAAAAATAAAAATAAAGCATATGTTATCGTTATCTATATATATAAAAATGAATCGCAAAATGTGTTGGTAAGCGCATAACTCAACAACGCCTCGACCAATTTGGCCAAATCTTTTTTTAAAATGTTCGTTGAAGTTCAAGGATGGTTTTTACGGAAGAAAAATTAGAATTATTGCTGGAAAAACCCTAAAAATAGCCCTTTTCTTTTTCCCATACAAATGATTTGTAACTAAAACGTAGTCAATTTGAGCTTTATTGCTATGGTATAAAGTTCATATTAAATTACAAGCACTCACTGTTGTCTAAGCAATGTAGGTGTGTTCCTAACGTCAAAGATCATATCTATCAAACAATGTGCGTGTGTGCGTTGGAGCACAGAATACATAGTTGGAGGAGTTTAATGTCGCGTTCCGAAACTCGCGTTTCTTTTGTATTAGTTTCGGCACGCGAGATAAAATGCATCAGTTTCCACGTCATTACATGTATTGCCGGAACATTGATGAAAATACGCTCTGTAGTAGCAAAGCTGTTGGGTCCTAGATAGCTCATTGGTTAGAGCAGTCCCTGGATCGCGAATGGGTTCGAGTCCCATTCCGGGGTACAGGTAGATGGATTCTTCCAGCATTTTTCCTTGAGAATGTTTATATATTTTTTTAATTCGAATAGTTTACTTTTATAATGCTGTTGTGTGTAATGTGTTTTTATGATCATAAAAATCTCTTTTTTCTATATTTAATACTATTACTATTAATACATTGCAATAATAATTATGATTCACATGATTAACAATAAAGCGATTACTTACTTTTAAATCCTTATATATGTTTTATTTAATTATTTTTTATTCACAACGCCCTATCACCAGGGTGACGGTTCTGTTCAGGAGAATTTTTTTAAATACGTAGGCAAAAAAACTGCCACATTACAAATCTTTTTGACAGGACGAAGTCTGTCGGGTCAGCTAGTTACAAATAAAAATAATGACACCTATCTTACTCAAACACTCTTTTACCAAATGTAAATTATCTGATGATGAATCTTGTAGGATGAAAGTGAATCTCATTCATGTGTTCTTGGTGCCGAATACATTTAACTAATTTCCCGTGAGTATAAACCAAACGAAGTCAACGGTTTGACGAGTTTAGCTAATAAATTATTGAAAAACGAAAGCATATGCCGTTTTCTTGAAAAAAAAATAAAGCATATGTTATCGTTATTACAAATAAAAATAATGACACCTATCTTACTCAAACACTCTTTTACCAAATGTAAATTATCCGATGATGAATCTTGTAGGATGAAAGTGAATCTCATTCATGTGTTCTTGGTGCCGTATTAGCTTCTGTTTATGTATACAGTATGACAACATAAGAAATCACATCATATAAATGAAATGAATATATTTCGCTATTTAATATGTTAATTGCATCAATAATAGGTTATTCAAAACTCACAATCTATGTGAATGTAAATATGAATTTCGTATTCAACCATCTGCCACTGTCGTCGTCTGCTAGGACTTATGATTGAGCTGCACGATCAAAAAGATACTCTAGAGCAAATTTACCAGCACACAAGGACTACCTGCCATACTTGTGACCTCATACACAGTTTAGTGTATTTGC